ATTACCCATCTCTGACAGGTGAATGGACAGTTTGGAATTGGATGTACGTGCACAATGCAGATCTCAGTGTGTTCACACTTCTGGTATTTGATCAAAATTCAAAAGGCGTTTGGAACAAAATATTTATAATGTGAGCAGGATTTTTTTTTTCCCCATGTGCCCAGACACTCACTTGCTTTGGGATTCTGACTGATGTGGCTGAATGCAAGGGGTAATGGCTCCCTTGAGGTCAGCAGTGACTTTGGGGAGCAGCACTGGGGGGCAGAGGTGGCTGTTCTCTGCAGGGAGGCTGCAGGCACCAAGTGCCTTGGAAAGCACCTCTCTGAGGGAGTGGGAAGGTCAGGACAGCTTTGCAAGATGCTCCTGACAGCCAACATGAACAGCATGAGGAGGGTAAGCCCCCAGGCAGCTGTTCATAGTAACAGAGCTGCTGGAGAGGCTTTGTGTGTTTAGTGGCTCAGCCTAGATAAGCCCAAAGTGGGGACCACGGCCCTACCCTCTAAGTACAAGGGCCACAACATCCGAAGGCTTAATCTTGAGGCTTATCCTGACTCTGAGATGGTGGATTAGGAAAGGTTCAGTTTAACAATTGCATCAAGATGTGGAATATTGATCCCCTCGCTGCACTGATTCCTTAGGGACAGATGGAGGGCTTGTTTCTTCTCTGGGGCAGAAAGTTGGCAGCGAGTTGAAGATTAACCAGTCAGCTGCACTAAAGGCTGTGGTGAATAAAGCAGCAGTTGTGTGACCGTGTGTGCAGGGGGGATGCAGGGGAAAGAGGTAAATTGTGAACTGGTTCTGGTGCCTCCTGGGTCAGAGCTAAGGCTGAGCTCACAGCAGAGCCAGTGACAGTTCACCTGGAGGGTGTCTGGCAGGACTGGGCTTTGTAGGAGCCCTCCTGGGCCTCCTCTGTGCCTTGCATGAATTCTCACTGTGCTTTAAGTTCACTTCTGCTTTGCTGTTGCACTGCAGACCTGCTGCACATGGAGCATTTCTAAAGGGTCCAGGCTGATTGGTTGGGGAACAGAGCAGTTCCTCTTCCAGGGACACTCGTGGTACCACGCAAGGTACAATGACTCCTGTTTTTGGGTAGGACTGGCTGACGTGGCTCCACATAACTAAACAGAGAACACAGACACCCAGCACACAAGGGAAGATCCACACACAGCTGTGTCACTTTATTAGGTTTGCCTGGGCTCTGGCACAGCGTGGCCATGGTTTGGGAGCCCTGTGTGCCCGGGGCACCCAGGGGCAGCCCTGCAGGAGCCCAGGGAAGCAGCGTGCACAGTGCCCAGGGGAAGCTCTCCTTTGGCTGCAGGCAGGAGCAGTCACTGCTCAGGTAAAGGGGCACTTGGATGCAAAGTGGCAGCCCAGGGAGGGAAGACAGACAGAGACACAAAAATACAAGTGCCTTCTCTAGGCAACAGCAGCTCTGTTAGGGGATGCTCTTCTGACGGGGATAACTACAGGGACAGGCTTGGCTCAGGAGAGCTTAGGGGTCTGTTCAGGATGGGGATTCACAGCCCTGAGTGATATCAAGAGGCACAAGTGGGAGAGTGAAGTGCTGTCTTGTCAGTGAACACATGGAGGAGGCAAACTCCATCTCTTCTTGCAGAGATGGAGTGAGGCAAAACAGCTTTGTGTGTGCAGGGTATCTCCTCCCTGCAGAGTCAGACTGGGTGACCAAACACTTGCACGAAACATGCAGAGGCCAGGGAGGGGCACATTAGTTTGTTTTCATTTGTTTCTGGACCCCACTCCCAATTTTTCCTAACCCGTTTCCCTAAGTTGTTGTCATCTCTCTCTCTCTCCCAGCAATTACTCTCAGTTGTCATCTGTCTGAGGGAGCCAAATGAAGCCCCAGGGTTGGACACCAGACAGGTTTCTGTTCCCAACGCTTGCCTTGATAAATGGATACTGGGAACAGTTTAAGGGAAAAGGATCCAATCCCTCTTGTTTTGCATTATCACTAAAAATTAAACTAATAGCACTTGGCAGCCAAGCTAGAGCCCCTCTGTGGTAAGCAATGACATCTATTGTTTATAAATGGGAGAAGCCCAGGTTCTCACTGCAGGCCATGGAAGCAGTTGCTGACAGAGCTGTGACAGGGCTCTGGGTTTCCCTGGTACATTCTCAGGCAGAAGGTCTATGTTTTTCTTTCCTACTTTCTTCCACTCTTTACCTTCCAGAAAATATGCCTTAAGTACCCCTCTAAGTCAAGGAGTGCCCAAGTCTGGGAGCAGGCAGGAGGGGTGTCTGGCTTGGGGTTAATGGCTCAGGAGAGAAGGTCTGCAGGACTTTTAGGTCATCTCCCGTCTGATGGAGAACATCAGTGCAAGTGGTGAGGCTGAGCCTTGTGGTGCAACCTCAGATCCATCCCCACTCCTGAGGAAGGCTGGGCGCTGGCTCCCGGCGTCTTGCAGGCGCGATCCTACGCAGAAGGGCCCGATGCTCTACAGCCAGAAGCAGCACCATGCAGAGACCATCCAGAGGCCATGGGATGCCCTGAGGGAAGTCAGCTCCAGCATGCAGGCCCCAGCTGAGCGTGGCTACGGCTCCACTGTCACGCTGCTGCTGGTGACACGGGCACCGTACCAGCCCTTCCAGAACAGCGTGTCCTGGCCGCCGTGCTCAAAGCGCACAAAGCGCACCCCGGGCCCGTACTTGGAAAAGGTGTGGGAGATCTTTGGGACAAGAGACAAAAGGGTTGTTGGTAAGCGTCAAACCACCATGAACCTACAGTGCACAGAGCCTTCAGCCCCACAGCCCCAGTCACACCTGCCAGGCTGGGTAACAGCGGGGACATTTACAGTAGAAGGAGCTTTGATCCCATTATTTTTTTCAGAACCTCTCCCACTTGGACATCTCCTTCACTTTACACCTGCAGTGGTAACTCAGCAAGTTTCCAAGTTTCCTGGGAGGTAGCCTCCCAGTATAATCCCTTTGTTTAATCACAGGCTGATGGCTCCAGAGAACACATGACAGAGCCTTCTCCTCCTCCAGGAGAACTTTCCTGCTTCCCTCTGCTTCAAAATATTCCCGATTCATGCCGGTTGGGTGTCACCTGCTGAGCCCACGGCTGCAACTCACCTCAGTCCAGCTGCCATCGTTGTCCTGTGGGATGGTAACAGTCTCACTTTTGTACTCAGCCAGCACATCCTCGTTCTCCGAGAGCAGCCTCACGCAGAGCTCGTAGAGGCAGCCGGCGTCGCGGCGTCCCGCGTACCTGCAGGGACACCCCGCTGCTGGCACCGCCTGGGAGCTCTGCACAGAGCCAGAACACGGGCTCTGCACTCCCACCAAGTCACTGGGGCCTTGCTTTGAGGTGGAAATGGTTCTTGCCCCAGCCCAGCACCTCCCCTCATTCACAACAGGAACTGGGGCTGTGGAGTTCACGTGCACCAACACTTTGAAGCTCGTGGGAGCTGCCTGTGAGCCCTGTTCCACTTCCAGGGCATCCTGGCAGCTGAGGTTTTAAGGCCCAGTATATATGAGGTTCGTGCCTTCCCTGCCCTTCTTTTTCTTTCTTTGCTCTCTGCCTGCCTTCTGAGGCATCCTCACTACTTACCAGTCTCTTACCACAATTTTAGGCTGGGTTGTGTCCATCAGCTCTTCCCAGTAGCCCTCAGCCCTAAGGTCAATGACCTGAGCCTTTCGACACCATCTGAAAGACAAGATGTTATTGGTATCACAGTCTCTCCTGGGACTGGGGGAACCAAAAATGTTCCCTTCCCTAAATAAGAGAAGAAAGCAGCCTTACTCATAAGATGTAACAAAGTATTTATGGACTTCTTCACTAGGGAATTCTTTTCCAAAGTCCCCTGGGAGCTCTTCAATTTTCCAGCCATCACCTCCATTCTCTACCTCTCCCCAGTGCTCCAAGTCTTCTGCAAATGGCAGAGAAGAGACTTGGATGAGTCTTAGTTTCTGTGGGCCTGGGGAACCTGACCATCTCCCACTGGAACCTTCTTTTGGCTTGAGAAGGCTCAGTGTTAGACACAGCACTAATATTGTATGTAGACTATGGATATGTTAGTAGAGGTCAGGCAAAAACCTTTAGTCTGGCTGAGCTTAGTATTACCAAACTTTAACATTCCCCAGCAAAATGGCTGTGTGGTTGTAGGTTTGTCTAAGGAAGTACTCCAGGGAAAGGATTTAGGTATTCTGAACAGTGTATCAGCACTTCCAGTGGTCACAAGACAGAAACAACCTGGGGAGAGATGCTGATTGCTTTATTTCTGTTTTCTAAATCGCTAAGTGGTATTTTCAGAAGCAGTAAAGCCTTAAACATAGGACTTTTCTGGTCTTAGCCAGAGGGAGCCTGGATGTTGGAAAAGCTTGCAGAAAGTCAAATGGAGAAGCTGTGTTGATATTGCTTTGGTCTGTGATGTGTGAAATTGTTGCTGCTTGGGTTGTGAGGCTTGTTTACTGCTGCTTATTGCTACTGCAGCTCTGGGAAGTGAAGCTCATGGATCCAGAATAATGGCACGTGGGGCATGTGGGCTGTGTGGGGAGGGGAAAACATGATTTGCTGCTCCAAGGAAAGAAGCCTGAAGAGCTGGTGAGCTGAGGGCAGACAGGCCCCTGAGCAGGGAAAGGTTTCCTCTCTCCTGTCATGGTTTGCCAAAAGCAATACAGAAACAGATGCCACGACCATTACGGCACTGGACGGGTTCTGCAAAGGACATTTTTGTCTCTCAAACTTGATTTGGATCCCTGCAGGGGTTATATAAACCTAATGTGGAGTAAAGCCCTTTGCAAAGACTGATTATCAAAGGCCTTCGTGCCCATTAAATGATTTGGCTGCGTGCAATGAGTGGTTTGACTCTTGGGCAAAGAGGAAATTCTGCAACCTGACAGCAGCTAAGATCTATTTTCAAAGAGAGGAAATGCCCAATTCTCTGTAACTGGTTATCTCTCTGAAATCTTGGGGCATGTTGTGCTTGTCTCTTACCTTCACCACATGGGTTCTTGATGAGGTTCCTCCTTTTCTTACTCAGGAAGTAGAAGTTTTGCCAGTTCTCTGCATCCTCCTCTGACTCTGCCCCAGTGAGCCCTTCCTGCTGGCACTTCAGGATCCACAGTGCAGCTCCATCGACCAGGTTCTTCCACTGGCAGCAGACCAGGCGACACACGAGCACCAGCTCCACTGCAGGTATGGCAGCCAGGATTCGGATCAGGACTGCTTCAGGGAGGGACTCCATCCCTGGGCTCAGCAGTGTCAGACACTGAGGCAGTAGGAAAAAAGGGAAAGTGTGTTATTTGAAGGCTTGATTTTGGGGCCATAGATTTCTCCCTGAGCTCACGGCCTCCTGACACCCATTAATATGCTGAAGCAGATGAATATTTTATGTCATAAGTGAAAGCCCTGAGTTAAATCCCCCCATAAAATGGAAGTACTTGACATCTGCAACTGTGGGCAGCTTGTTTGTTCCCCAGACTGGCAGCAGTCCTTCCAGAATCTCTGCTGCTGCAAAAATCAGCTTCTTAGTAATTATTTCCTCTGCAGAGGGAGGCAGAGGGTATGTTTGTTCTGCCTTCAGGAACATCCCTGATAACAAATGCTGCAGAGCAGTACCCAAATATCAGCAGTGAGCATCTTGCCAGCCACCCTTGCAGTGGTTCATTCTATGTCTGATAGGCTTTCCCTCAGGGGGCTGGCACTTAATCCCCTTGGTCATGAGCTCGTATAAAGTACAGGTCTGAGCATAGCTGAAAATAACTCAGTTGATATTCTCTAATATTCCATTTTCTATGGCCTCATAACCTGAGCCATTAAGTCAGAAGTGTGTGCTAATTCTGGCCTCCAAACAGCTCTCTGCTGCCCTGAGGTCCAGGTGCTGCAGGACTAAGGAAAGATGATTGTGCAGTTTCAGAGCCCCTGTCACCAGTGATGGATGCACTGTGACACTGCTGTTGTGTCAGCTGAGTCCTGGGGCTGGGAAGCTGCTAAGACTGCAGTGAACTGCATGGATGCAGCCAAACTCCTTGGGAACGAGTCATTAAGCCTGGGAGAGCACCAGGAATAGAGGGGAAATATCCTGACATGTGACTTGAAGAAATACAGCAGTGCCAAACCTGGCAAGGGAGGGAAGAAATAAAGAGTCACTTCTGTAACAGCATCCTAAATCTAGATGTTCAGGTGCAGAGCATCGTGTGTTCTCTATCTGCACTGCAGCCAGCATGGACAAACTGTCATTTAAAATTCCCTGGCTTTTCTGGGGATAGCATCAGTGATTTCCCATTCCCCTCCGCTTCCAACCCTCCACCGCAGTCCTGAAGGCTAAAATGTAATTTAAAAAAAAACAAAACAACAAACCAGAAACATGAGCAGTCATGCTGGTTTGATCTCTTACAGGAATTTCAGAGGCCCCGCCTGCTGATGGAGCACCGCCGCTCTCCTCGTTAGCGAGGATCCCCCGCGCTCGGCAGAGGGACGGAGGTACCTTCCCTTTCCAACCGCAGTTCACAGCATCCCCCCGGGACCGGTCCGCATCCTCCCCAGGACCGGTCCGCATCCCCTCCGGGACCGGTCCGCATCCTCCCCCGGGACCGGTCCGCATCCTCCCCCTGACCGATCCGCATCCTCCCCCGGGACCGGTCCGCATCCTCCCCCTGACCGGTCCGCATCCCGGCATCGCGGGCAGCGCTCACCCCGTGCCGTGTCTCCGTCTGTCCCCGGAGACAGCCCGGGACACCCGCAGGGGCTCGGGGGGACACCGAGCGCTCTTACCTGGGCGGGAGCGCCGGGGCCGGGCTGGGCTGTCCCGACACAAGGCTGCGGGCTCGGGGAGGGCGGTCCGGGCTGCTCTGATAAAGCCCGGCGGCCCCGCCCGCGCTCCTCCCTCCCCCGCCCCGCGGAAGGGCCGCGCCCGCACATCCGGGGCCGGAGGGCGCAGGTCGGTACCGGAGCGGGGCCGGGGCCTCGGCCCGCTGGGCTGCCCATGGCTCTGCCCCTGCCTTAGGCAGAGCCTGTGTTTGCCCCGGGGCTGCGGTTCCCCCCCGCCCTCAGCCATGACAAGCATCGGCGACCTCCCCGAGGACGTGCTGGTGCAGCTGCTGTCGCTGCTGCCCGCCCGGGACCTGCTCCGCAGCTGCCGCCTGGTGTGCGCGCAGTGGCGGTACGTGGTGGACCTCAACACCCTCTGGAAGAGAAAGTGCCAGCGCGACGGGTTTTATCGGCAGAGCCTGGACAGGAACGTCTCTGACTGGAGGGTCTTCTATATGCTCTGCCACTTGAAGAAAAACTTAATCAAAAACCCCTGCGCTGAAGGTTGGTTTCGTTATTTTAGCAGTTAAGAGTTTCCGAGAAGTCGAGAGTGAGTCAGTATATCCTGCATGACTCAACTGCTCGTGCTGCAGGACTGTCCAACTGCTGGTGGAGCTCTGCTGGGTCAGATCCAGCTCAACAGCAGCAGTAGAACTGCTGTGGGTAGATGGGTGTGTATTTACCAGTGCTTTGTGGTTGCAACCAGAAAAATCTGGAGTTGCAAGGCCCCAGCACTGCAAACGGTGACAATTAATTTGCACAGCAAGTACAAGGTGGTAATGAAACCATCGGGTATTGGCAGTAAAAGTTTGGGCAGCTGGAGAACTTTGTGTTATCAAAGACTTGACTAATAGGACTACAGTAATTCTACTTTATTGCTGCTGATGAGTTTGTGATGTGGTCAGATGGTTTGTGTCAGCTCCCTTGCTGACAGCCACATGAAAAGCAACCTAATGACAGGAGTCACTTCCAGGTTGTAGGAAAAATACAGTGGATCTGAAAACTCCACGTAGCTTAACAGAATTCTCCTGTAGCTGACTCTTTAATGAAAGCAGAGCTCCTGCTGGTAGCTGAAGTGAGGTCCTAACCCTCATCTTGGACACCTGTGTTTGTAGAGGAATTCAAGCACTGGAGAATTGACGAAAACGGTGGAGATGAATGGATAATTGAGGATCTGCCTGGAGCTCATGGAAATTTGATGCCAGACCCCACAGTACACAAATACTTTGTCACTTCATTTGGGTAAGAATGGGATTGCAGTAATCTGGAGCTGGGAAACCTCCTTCCCCCTGTGTGTCTGCCCAGGCACCACAGTTAGAAGGCTTGAGGCAGGTCACTGAACCTTAGCCCAGCTGTGGGAAAAGGAAGGAGCTTAATTAAGCCTTTATGCCAGTTAGTCTAAAGACACAGGGTACTGCTGAGAGAATTGGTCACAGTATATGCCAAGTTTCTCTGTCTCTACCAGGAACCTCCTGTAATTTTTATAGTTAAAATAATCCACGTGGATTTTATAGTTACAATAATTCTCCTCTCCCAGAGTTGATGGGCAAAGGTTAAGGCTCTGGCAAACATAATCAGCTGCACTTACCTGACAGGGCTCTGGAACCTCCAGGAGTGGTAGGTGTGTCATGCAGAGCGTCAGCAGAGGAGGATTAGCTGCTTTTACATGCACTAGGCAGTGGTTTCCTGTTCCAGTACACAAGTGCAGGGACCCCTCTTAATCCAGCTATTCCTTTTATTTGGGGGTGAAGCTAATTCAGTTCATTTCCTTATCCAGTTCTGGCTACGGAAAAGGCAGGCCTTAGCCAGGTCAGGTCTGTGGGCCTTCAAGGTCTGGGCAGGCAGTAAATCTGTCAGGGAAAGGACACTGACAGTGAGAGGGAAGAGATGTGTTTTGAGGAACTGTGAGTATTTCTAATGCTGTTTCAGGCTATGCCTCAAGTCTCAGCTCATTACTCTGAAGAATGAAGGATACCAGGATCAGCTGATGGATGAGATACGGCCTGAAATTGTAGTCAAGGACTGGTAAGAGGATACACTGAAAACTAGAATTTCTGGTATTGGCCTAGAATTAAGCTAGGCCTGTGGAGCTTTTCATGCTATAAAATCAGTTCTTTATCCTTTGGGAGTTGTAGCTCTCGAGTAAAGCATAAGCTACATCTCAGCTTATTAAAGGGGTGCGAGGAGGTGGCAATCCTGGGAAGGGATAGCTGGAACTTGTAGAACTTCTCCATAGCTATGGAGTGTGCAGACAGGGATCTTCTTGGAGACTGTTTTTGAACCCCAGGGGGAAGTGAAGGCTGTACATACAGCCCTGCTCCCTGGCTCCTCTGCCTCCCCAGGTATGCTGCCAGGTCCGACTGTGGGTGCCACTACGAGCTGAGGGTGCGGCTGCTCTCGGCTGATCACATCGTCCTGGACGAGTTCGAACCTGAGCACATCATCATCGAGCAGTGGAATGATGCCAAGTGGAGAGAGGTGAGCAGCAACCCCGGGGGCAGGAGCTTTATATCAGTTTTGTGGCACATGAGTCTTGCCAGTCTCACTTGGCCAAAAGTCCCAGTGGACCTTTCTCTGCTCTCCAGCCTCCTCTATACAGCAGGTGAGTCAGTCCTTGCTGGTGATGATGCCAAAGAAGCAGTGGTGCCCTGATCAAGTCAAGTTCCTTTTTAGGTGCCCAGGATTTTCTAGATAATATCCCCTGGGCTTCTGGGTATTCAGTCTTTTTAATTGTTTCTGGGTTTCACCTAAGTTTTTGTCTAAATAACTAAGTCACAAGAGCAGATTGCTGTTTTTTCGGATCAAAAACCTTTGTTTCAAAACTACTGTGCAAGGATGGCCAAGTATTGCAGACTTAACTTTTCTTAAACTGTTAAAGGTGTATAACTGGTTTGATTTGCTGCAACGACCACATAAGTAACATCCACATTAGATGTTACTTATGTGACAAATGCACCTAAGAATTGAGCTTAATGTTAGTTTGACTCAAAGAACATTTCAGGGCACAAGGCTGAGTGAGAGGCTTTTTCTGCCCCATCCTCCAAAAAAGGAGTATGGTGCACTTTCAGTGAAAGGTATCTTGGTCTCAGGAAAAGCTCAAAGACTCACAGACTGTAGTTGTCTGAGGTTCAGGTCCCTGCTGGTCTAGTTAAGCAAATTAAGAGGAATTCTCTTATTTCTCTCCAGATTTCCCACACATTCCGGAATTACCCAGCAGGAGTTCGCCACATCTTGTTCCAGCACGGAGGGCAGGACACCCAGTTCTGGGCAGGATGGTATGGGGTCCGTGTGACAAACAGC